TTTTCCTTCATTCTTTTTGTTTTTCTTCTTTCTTCTTATTTTCCTTCATTATTTTTGTTTTCCTTCTTTATTTTTGTTTTTCGTGATTTTTTCTGTGAGATCTATCTGTGTTTGAAGAAGAAGACACAAAATCTAGAAACAGATAACATATTTAAATTGTGGATAACTATGAGAGAGATAGTTATTTGGTTTATTATTTCATCACGTCGTCTCTTTCATCACTATTTTTGATCACAATGTGAATATGGAACAGTGTTGTTGATAAAACCAAGTACTTGTTAATAGTTAGGAGTATTTGGAAAGCTATTTATATTATTAGAGCTGAAAGAGTTAGAAAAAATAAATCAAGAAATTAATATGAAATCGTTGTAATAAATTCCAGTTTCATCTCAATGAACTGTGAGTTCAGAGTGATTCATGTCATGCTCAAAGTCAACGTTATTGAATATATATATGCAAGTCTCCTTGATTGATTTAATAATAATCGATTGATCATAATATGTTTTAATTAAAAGCAAAAAATCTATTTCCATTCAAGTAAAACTGTTTATTTAAAATACATACACATACTTTCGCATTTTCAGAATGTTACTTCGGCGAAACTGAAGGCAAAATCAAAGATTTCCCGTCTTGATTAGTCATTTTTATACTCAATGTTGCTCCCCTTGTCCTTCGTCTCAATTGTGGCATCTTCCCTGAAGTATTGGGAGTCACGTTCTGGAATGAATCATTAAATGCATTTTGGAAAGAATCATGAAGAGTGCCCTGGACGGAATTCTGGGCACATACGTTATTAGATAAAATACCTCCAGAAGGTTCAGTAGGATTCCTAAGATGCCTGATTGGGGACATATTTCCACTCAATAATAAGCCTTTCAACACTGCAGGCGATGAACGTGTCGCGATAGTTGCTGCTCGAGATGCACGAAGAGAAGTAGTTCCTGCTTTGACTGATGGTGCGAGTGCCAATTTAGTTGTTTTCGGCAGAATGCTTGTTAGTGGAACATGTGGCATATCTTTAATCTTATTTAACTCAAGATGTAAACGATCATTCGACAAAATTTTATAAACTGCCGATTCATGACACACTTTCTGATTTGTGACAGCTTTAACAACATCAGCCTCAATAAATTTTAATTTTACCATTTGGAAAAGCACAATTTGATAGAGCTCATTTGTATTAATCATTTGTAAACGGGGGATCTTATATTGAATCATAAAAGGATGACTTCGAATATTTTTGAGTGTTATTCGATTTTGTGGGCTTTTAATTAACATTTGACGAATGAGATCATTCAATTGGGGGTTCACGCTAGTATCATTATATCGAGGCTCCTTCAAGACAACCTGCTGGAATGATTGTGAGATGGATTTTGAATCAAACGGCAATTCGCCATAAGCCATGCCATAAATAATCACTCCAGCTGACCAAATATCAGCAGAAGAGTTATATTCACTATTCATGATAATTTCTGGAGCCGCGTAAAGTGGCGATCCGCATAATGTTTGTGTCACTTTTTTATCATTCTCGAAAAGTTTGGAAAAACCGAAATCAGTCAGCCGTAAGTTTCCGTATTTATCAATGAGAAAGTTTTCCGTCTTTAAATCGCGATGGACCATTTTCATATCGGTATGTAAATAATCCAAAATTTCGAGGATTTGTAATGCGTAAACTTTGATTTGAAGTTCATTTAATCGACGGCTAGCATTAATAAAGCTGAGGAGTGTTCCACTGGGAACATATTCCATGACAATATAAATCTTGGCTTCGTCTTCAAAGTATTCGAAATAATGGACAACAAATGGATGGTCCAACTTCAAGCATACCGGAAGTACCTTTCTTGTTCTTTCGAGTGTAGCATTATTGCTTTTGTCTATAACTTTGATTGCGACTTGGTGATGTGTGCGCTTTTCAAAAGCTCGATAAACAGAACCAAAAGAACCCCGACCTATCTCACTCCAATCGACGTAGAAATCAGTAATCATGAGAGATTTTGAAATTCTATAGTTAAAACGAAAGGCGATAAAAAGAAGAAATAAAGATTTGTATGGTTGTCTTTATTTCACATTATTCAATATTTGAGAATAGTTATTCTATGATCATTCAATGAGATGGCCAAATTCAAAGATAACTTTTCTTTAGAAATGAATACAAATCGTTAGAGAAAAAAGAGAGAATGGTTAACTAACTAAAACGAATTAATAGACTTTTCAGTTGAAAAAAGAATTTTTTGGAAAGAAATAATTCACAGATGGGCGAATAAAAAGATAAATGGAAAAAAGGGGGCTAGTCGGGAATCGAACCCGAGACCTCACGCACCCGAAGCGCGAATCATACCGCTAGACCACTAACCCTCGACATCAGGTGCTAAAAAGCAAGATCCATACTATGATTATTATTGAGAAGATTTATGTTTTCTTGGTTGTTTTAATTTTTTGATGAACTCACTACAATACCATCTCAACTTATTAATTATGTTACATTCGACATACTGGTATTTCAAGTCTTATCAGAAGATTTTTCATTTTTATTTATTGATTTCTATCCTTAATATTATATATATCTTCAAAAATTGTAATTTCATATTTTTACCAATTTAACTTTATTTTACATGGAGATAAAATTTTTTAGCTATAAAAAGGAAAATAACCAAAATGTGAAAGATAATTTACATAAACTAATTAAACTCATTTTCGGGGAAAATCCTCTCTGCATTAACAAGAACAATCAACCAAAATTGAATTTATTCCTGCAACAGTTACAAATGCTGTTTTGTTCTCATCATCTGTGTTTGCATTTGTTGTTGTGAGTTCATCAAAAGCTACAGGTGTATCACTCTTTCTTCTTCGAGGTGTTGGCAATTCTCTCTTCTTCTTTGGAAGCATACTCGGTAGGTTACTTAATGCTTTCATGCTTAAAGGATCAATATCTCTGGATGAATGAATCATTCCTGAATTAGCCCTTGAAACAACATTCAAGCCAAGTCGCTGACTTCCACTTCTTTTCGGTTTCACTATCTCAGGCTGGTGTGCATTAATGGCTTTTATAATCATTATGTTTTTATGCATGTTTGGAGATGAGGAATACATTGTTAATTCTGGATTTGTTTTTTGTGTGATGATGTGACTTTGAAAGGAAATTTTACATACTCAATTTTTAATACATTCTTTTTTATCTAATTGTTAAGAGTTGAACCAATGATTTGATTTTTTTCAAAGAAATTCATGAATTGTCATGTTGTTGTGAATCAGTTGTTTCAACAGACTAGGCTCATCTAGTATTAGCACATAGAAGCACCAGATGAACGATACGAAATGTAAGAAAAACCAGATATTTAATACAAAATAAAAATTTCTTGTTATTTTTTTGAATACTGTAGATTTTACTTTGATACAAAAATCGAAATTGAATAAAACATGATTTTGATATGATGAGATCAAAAAGTTTCTTATCATAAATTCATATTCTTAAGTATAAAGAGAGAATTAAAACTTAAATAATGACTGGATGGATTTATCACCAGTAACTCAATTGAAAATCTTTGTAAAAGAAATGGTACTTTTCAGAAAGAACGGCAAAATGTACCATTCAAAACAGAGTTTAGGATTTTCTATTTTCCAATTAATAGACCAACACGAAATTTTCCATGATCGTCGGCAATTATTCCATAGAATTAATATAAAAAATTCTGTTAATTATTTATCTGATTGTAATGTACTTGTCGAAAAATAAATAGTCAATTCTAACTTTGTGGAACGATCAAAAGTTGATATAATGAAGCACCAATTGGTTCGATAGATAATGATTAACTCTTCAGAGATACGTGAGCTTGATTACCCAGAAAACAAGAAATAAGAAAGAAGAAGGAATTAGAAAGAACAAGGAATAAGAAAGAACAAGAAATAGGAAAGAACAAGAAATTAGAAAGAACAAGCATTAATAAAGAACAAGAAATAAGAAAGAGCAAGGAATAAGAAAGAAGAAGGAATTAGAAAGAAGAAGGAATAAGAAAGAACAAGGAATAAGAAAGAACAAGGAATAAGAAAGAACAAGGAATTAGAAAGAACAAGGAATAAGAAAGAACAAGGAATAAGAAAGAACAAGGAATAAGAAAGAAGAAAGAAGAAGAAATTAGAAAGAACAAGCATTAATAAAGACTATTCACCCTTAACATGTTTCCAAAATGACACTTAGAATCCCATTCCATTCAACCAATAACATTTTTCTTTCCATAAAAAGGTGTGTGCAACAAACTGTTTCAAAAATCCATTTTTACAAAGTTTTAGAAATTCATATGAATCCGAAAAACACAGCATTTACTAACACAGTTTGAAAATTGACAGTTTTTCACAATGAAAATCATCATAACAAATGACATCAGAAAGAATTCATTTCCATGAGCTTGCCTAATCAAATAATTTGACTTATTCATACATACAAAAATAAATCGAATTCAATTCTAATTTTCATTTCGCTCATTTCAAGATATATTTTCCAAATGTCCTTTTATTTTTCTCCTCTTATGTAGCAATCTATCAAAATTCATGATCGATCTTTTCTTAAAAGGTGAATGATCGAATTTCAATAATTTAAATCACCTTTCCGAAATCTCGATGATAATGAATTCAATCAAATTTTGAATAGGTGATTGACCGAAGTTTTCAATTTTTTGATAATTTTGAATTATTTATTTCTGGCAAACTTTTGCCCTCTTTCTCGATTTCTTCCCGAATGGCAACACCCCAATTAATCTTTACAATACCCAACAGTACGAGTGTAAATCATATCAGGTATTACGCTACAGAAAAGAACGGCGATTTCAATATCGACGTTGCCTGGTTTTCAAATTCCACAAACGAGCGGGCGCGCGAGCTAAACTGGATCGAACGAAATTTTGCCTACGGTTTCTCGCTCCTGAAAGGCACCCCCGGGAAAACACAGATCAAAATTTGCGCATTAAAATCTCGACAAGTTTTCATACAATTAGATGAAGAAGGAAACATAATCGCTACAACGGACATCAATGGAAAGCATAGTTTGCTGAAAAAGGTTTTTGTCCAAGTTTCAGAAAATAAATTGAAAATTGTTGATCACGTTGATATCATTGGAGTCGACCTGGAAACAAAGGAAGAAATACAAGAAAGATATTTCAGATGAATTATAAATGTAATCACAAATTTGGCGATATTTAGGTGTTCTTCTTTTTGTTAACGAACATTTCTCAAATTTGAAAACTGTCATTGAATAAAAGTTTCAAAACTCTATCACATAAATATTTCACCTTTATTATATCAGTTAATTGACCTTATTTTAAAATTTTTGAAATTTGTTTTAGCTTTTTATCCATGTGAAAATCAGATTCATGCTTGATGATGTTTAGTTTTCGAAAGATTGAATAAAAATATATATAGTTTTCCAATTATCTTTCCCTGGTTTTTTCGCGTGATGAAATATTATTATATTCGGATGTGATCAAAAATTATTGTTATTTTGTACATTTTTATTTCCTCACCGAACATATCATTACACTACCTCTGCATCATGACCTAATTGAGAGACGAGTCATTTTGTTATAGGAGAATGATAGAAGAAAGTCTATAGGAATTGAATGCGAGATTTAATTTCATGAAAGATCAAACAGCTTGGGATTAATTTCAATTGAGGCATTCGATCGAGGGAAAATTAGGTCAATTATTATGGTGAAATTGTATTTCTGGCTTAGCTGTTGGTTGTAATACTGGGCTATTCTCATTAGCACCTGAAAATTAATAATTATTTATTAACGAATGTGAATCAGGTATTTCGTTATTGAGATTTCCAAATTTTTATCTGACATTAAGATCATTCTCTATATATAAAATATCATTCCACAAGTTCTAACAAGCTTAATGTTTTGTTCTATTATCTAGATTTTTAAATTTTGATGATTTCTGAATGGTTGATTCTGATATTGAATTCACTGATGAGATGGCGGCAAAATTAACATCTTCAAACTTTGTGTCATCTATTTAAATTTATAAAAAGTTGTTATGGCAGTTTTGTTATTTCACAAAAAAATTTAACGTAAAATGTTCACGTTAAAATTTTAAGAAAAACATGATTCCAGAACATGAGCAGCTTTTTAAAATCGATGAAACAGCGGTTCATCGTTATATGAACAATATTGGCAACCATTTAAAGACGCATGATGAACAAATAGCCGAACTAATGAAATTATTGCGCGGTATTCCATCAGCAAACGACATTAATCAACTCAGAGATGAATTCGATAGAAAGTTAAACCAATTAAAAGAATCACTGAATAATAAAATTGAAGATTCCAATCAATCTTTAAATGACCGAATCAGCAGATTAAAAGATGATACAGACAATAAATTGTCATCAATTTCTGAAAGCTTAGGCAAAAAGATCGATAATGTGCAAAATGATTTGAGTGGAAGACTCTCCGATGTTGAAGAGGAAATCGAAAAGTTGAAAAAGCACATTTCAACGTTACCAACGCATTCAAATGATGATGAATTGAATGAAGCACTCAATAATATAAAAAAATTGAATGATCTCGCTAATGAAAATCGGGAATACATTCAAACAATAGCAACTTCTTACGCACTTGTGAATAAAACGCAGGCGCCTTTAGGCCCAGCTCTACAAAGAACTTTATATGCAACTTCGGACTATATCACAAGAAATTTCAAGAAATTATCTGATGCAATTAAAGCACTTCAAGGAATTAAACCGACAAGTGAAACAATTATTCAGCAAACAGAAATTGACTTATCTGGCTTGAATTATATTGGAAGTGAGATTCCAGCAGATTTTAATGAATCTCCAAAATTACCTCCAATTTATAAATTTGGTGAAGTGCCTGATGCCATTCAATATATGTACGATAGCTTTCCTAAACTTCAAGGATATTTGAATGCTTTACACAAACGGTTATTGACTGTCAATGATGGTGAAAAAGGAAGTGATTTTGATCCATCAGTATTTGATAATTTAATTGCGACTGTTCGAAAGGCATTAGCCGATATGGCTGCAGAATTGAACGAATTGAAGAAAGGAAACGGAAATAAAGGACTTACTAGAGCAGACGTTCTCAAAATGCTTCGTGATCTGCTCGCCGAAGAAGATTTCGACGGAAACGACACAGCGATTGGATACGTTAAATGTATTGCTTGCGGACGAGAAATCAGACAGGTTGCCGGCGCGATGACGGAGGAAATGGCATATCGAACTCTCGGCGCTCCAACTAATTCAGTTGCAATGTTTCCCTACATTGGTGCGGATAAATCCATAAATCAAATGTTCGCAAATTCTGATCAAGTTGACAAGAGCTATCTTGAAAGTCCGCGCT